TTCACCAGTCACACTCCTTGGTGTTTACCCAAATGAGTGGAGAATGTATGTCAACCCGAAAGTCTACACGGGAATATTTATAGCAGTTTTATTCATAAACACTGAAACTTGGGATGCAACCAAGAGTCCTTCAATAGATAAATATATAAATAAACTGATATACTCACGCAATAAAATTATTCAGGAAAAAAAAAACAGAAAATAAAAATAGCTATCAAGTCACAAAAAGACATAGAAGAACATAATGCATATTACTAAGTGAAAGAAGCCAATTAAAAAGGCTACATACTGTATGATTCCAAATATATGTCATTCTTAAAGACAGAACTATAGAGACAATAAAAAAAAAATAGTGGTTGCCAAGGTCTTGGGATGAGAGGAATAAGGGACAAGTAGTTGGGGCAAGGACGGTTTTTAGGGCAGTGAAACTATTCTGTAATAGTGGATACATGGCAATATACATTTGTCAAAACTGTAAAACACAAAGAATAACCCTGATGTAAACCAACTTTATTTAATAAGAATGTATTGATATTGGTTCACCAATTATAACAAATGCACTACACTATGCAAGATGTTAATAATAGGGAAAACTGTGTACAAGGAGAAAGGGGATAGATGAGAACTCTGTACCTTCTACTCAATTTTTCTTTAAACCTAAAACTATTGCAAAAAATAAAGACTACTAATGTAAAAAAAAAATTTCCCAGAAGAAAATCTGAGACACAAGTTTCATTGGAAAGTTCTTTGAAACATTAAAAAAAAAAGCCACAGATACACACACATACACACAATCTCATAACCTCTTGTAACACAGCAAATAGAAATTTTAAAAGGGAACACTTACCTACTCATTTTATCAGGCCAGCATAACATTGACATAAAGCTTGTCAAAGACACTACAAGAAAGGAAAGTTACAGACTAATCTTTCTGAGGGACAGAGATGCAATTCTTAAACACATTATTGGAGTTCTGCCAATGCATAGGATGTAGAAAGCCAGTAGGCAAGAATGTCACTCCTACTCTAACAATGAGAAAAAGTGGTATAATCATATACAAATCATATCTTCGGAACCTATTAGAAAACTGAAATTGTAAAACAATCAAGTAAAGTAAATTCCAAAGAGTAACAAGCCCCTCCAAGGACAGATGGTACTCCCAACGATTTTACCTTTGGCAGAGTACAGGGGGAAAAAGGAAGCTACCATATAACTGAGAAAGAAGAAATAAGCTAAAATTTTAACTGTAAGGACTAGATCTGGGCTATCATGTCAGTTAGAATAACTGGGAGCTCAAAACACAAGGGGAATTCACACTTGCATGGCTTTTCCCATGAGTCTCTATCAGGCACCAGACTAGGGGTAGAGTAGGGAATTTACAGAGTCCCTTTTGTGAGACAGGTACGCAAGAGAGGATAGACCACTCGTGCTTGACAACCATAAAACTGTGTTGCATTGCCCTAACTCTCCTTTCATGTAAGGAAAAGGCCTTAAACCTCTGGGGTAGGGGGCAGAAACCATCCTACTCTGAAGACAAGGTATCATTCGTTGCTTCTGAGGGTGAAATAGATGCAAAAAACTGCCTTCCTCATGGGAAGGTAAGAAAATTCTCTGGGTCCCAGATCCTAGACCAGTACAAAGCAGGGGTTAAGCCAGCATTAGGAAGGGGCAGACCCAGCATCTTTATCCATTATCTGCCACAGATACGAGGCAGAGCTTGGCTGCCAAAGGAAGAAAAGGAAGGCACACTGAGAAAGACCAACCCTGAGGCACATGGACTGTAACAGGACCAGGAGGAAAAAGAACAGCTGTACCTATCATGAGCTTAAGACTGAGTAACACCAGACTACTGCCGAGAGAGGGATAAGAGAATGAAGGTGGACTTCTCTCTGAGATATAGGCAAGCAGGGATGGATGAAAGCTAAGGATGTAGCAGAAACACAGAAAAACTCTCCAATACCCCAGGATCCCTTCTAAGCACAAAGTTATATCAGCCTACTGGATTTGAAGCCTGTGCTATACTGAAGCCAATGACAGCAGTAGCAAAACTCAAACCTAACCTGACTCCTGAATGGATTGACCAACACTTCCACACTCACTAAGGATATAGAACACTTGAACAGAATTGTCAATCTACTTGACCTGAACGTTATAGAAGAGCAATAGCAGAATGTTCATGCTTTCAAGCACACATAGAACATTCAACAAAGTAAGTAACCTGAATAGTTCTGCATACATTTTAAAAATTAAATTTTTATTAAAAATGTTCCCACAAAGAAAACTCCTGGCCCCAATAACCTTACTGGAAATTCTACCAAATATTTAAGGAGAAAATAATATTAATTCTACACAAATTCTTCCGGAACAGGGAACACTTCCCAACTCAATTGATGAGATCAGATTTACCAGATATCAAAACTAGACAAAGATGCTAAAATAAAACTAAATAAATATCTGCCATGAAAATACTTGCAAATTTTTCAACAAAATATTAGCAAAGTGAATCAAGAAAGACATTAAAAGGATAATGCATCATAACTAAGTGGCATTTGCCTCAGGAATGCAAAATTGGTTCAACATTCAAAACCAGTCAGTATTATTTATCATGTCCACATATTAAAAAGAAAAATCCAATGAGCATCTCTATAGATATAAGGAACATTTTTAACAAAATTCACCATCTATTCATAACAAAACTCTCAGAGAACTAGGAATAAAAGAGAGCATCCTCAACCTAATAAAAAGCATCTGTACAACATTGCACTGGAGGCTCTAGTCAGTGAAAGAAGTCAGGAAAAATAAAAGAAATACAAGGCATACAGATTGGAAGGAATGTACTTGGAAATCCCTAAGCAATTTACAAAAAAGGTACTATAATATGTCTAGTAAGGTCACAGGATACATGGTACATATACAAATATCAACTGTATTTCTGTATACTAACAAAAAATGGAAACTGAAATGAGAAAAATCACCAGCATTAGCCAAACCATAGAATCAAAAAATATGAAATACTTAAGGGAAAATCTTGACAATATATGTGCAAGATTTGTATACTGAACTATAAAATGCTGACAAAAGTAAATATAAATAATGGAAAGATAAACTGTTACAGAGGCCAGAAAATTCAATATTGTTAGATGGCAATTCTCCCTAAATTGATCTATAAATCCAACCTAAGCCCAACTCAAATCCCAGCAAACTTTTTTGTAGTAATTATAAGATGATCTAAAATGTGTATGTCAAAGCAAAGGACCTAAGATTACCAAAACAATTTTGAAAAAGAGGAACAAATTTAGACGACTAATTACCTGATTTCAAACTTAGTATAAAGTTACAAAAATCAAAGCAGTATGGTAATAGCATAGTAGACAAACAGATCTATGAAACAGAATAAAGAGCCAGAAATAGGCAGGTATGCATGTGTGTGTATTTGTGTGTGTGCACACATGTGTGTATACTAAATCAATTTTCAATAAAGGTACAAAGGAAATTAGTGAAGAAAGGACAAGTTTATCAACAAATAGGTACTGGAAATAGGTAAGGTAATGGACATCTATATGTCCCCCTACCAAGAAAAATCATTATATTATGCCACATACAAAAACTAACTCACAATGAATCACAGATCTAAATGTAAAAGCTAGAACTATAAAACTCCTAGAACAAACCATAGAAGAAACTTTTTGAAACCTTAGGTTAGGCAAAGATTCTTAGGCAAGACACAAAAAGCATAAATCATAAAAAAAGAAACTGATAAAAATTTGTCATCAAAGCTAAACATTTTTGCTCTTTGAAACACCCAGTGGAAACAGATAAGCCACAGACAAGGAAAAAATATTTGCAAGATGCATATATAATAAAGGACTTGTGTCATATATAAAGAATCTCTATAATCAGTAAGAGAGCAAATACAATGTTTCTAATGGTCAAATGATGTAAACAGACTACTTCACTACAGAAGATACAAACAAGTTCAGTATCACTAAGTCATTAGAGAAATGCAATTAAAGCCACAATGGGATATGATTACACTCCTATCATTCGATTAATAAATGAAAATTATTTAATAAAAAACAGACATCAAATGCTAGCAAGGATGTAGAGGAACTTAAACTCTCATAATTGCTGGTGGCAAAATGTCACAGCCACTTGGGAAAATTTAGCAGATTCTATGATACAACTCAGCAGTTCCATTCCTAGGTATTTATCTGAGAAAAGAAAACAAATATTGAAGCAAAAACCCATACCAGAATGTATATATCAGCTTTACTCATAATTTATAATCAACAACCCATAACTCTATAACTGAAAATGTCCAGTAAACAATGAATGGATAAAAAAATTGTAGTACATCCAAACAATGAAATACTACTCAGCTATAAAAAGAACTACTGAAATCCAACAACATGGCTGAATCTCAAAAACATTATGCTAGATCACAGAAACCAGGCACACAAATTTACATACTGTATGATTCTATTTATATGTCATTTACAAAAAAGGCAAAGATTTCCTCTGAACGTAGCACATGAGAAAATACTCAATAAATGTTGGGTGGACAGATAGAGGGCGAAATCATTGCAGGGAGGATAGAGTGCAAGAAGGTGACAGCCTGACTGGAAAGCAGAAAGGCGCCGGGGGCCCCAAACCATACATAGGACGATAAATGTGAGGAAAAGTCTGGTCCAACCTACCTCCACTAACTCCAGTACCTTAAAACATTAGACCCCATAAAGGACTACAGTGTGAATGATTAGCCTCAGCGTTTCTCTGACCTGAAGAAAGACGTGATGCGTCCCACCCTTCTTTAAATATCGATTACCCCACACGCGAGGCTGAGCAAGTGGAGCTTACACCAGCAAGGGAGGTTTTCCCGTGCACAGGGGCGGAGCTGGGGAGCCCAGAGAGGGGCTCCGGCTTAGGTTAGCGGGATGCAGGGGACAAGGCAGCGCCGCGGCCCCGCCCGTCTCCCTCCCGTCCCCCTCGGCCTCACTTACCCAGGCCTGGCGTTCCAACTGAGCGTACAAACTGGAGCCCTTGAGCTTTTGAACTATCTGGGCAATGATGAGAGACAGATCCGACTCCTCCTGCAACATCGCCCTGCCCTAGCCCGCCAAGCCGCGGGGACAGACCGCTGGCGCCTCGAGAACGGGCTACAGGGTCTCGCTTAGGGCCAGTGACACTTCTCCCGGACCTTATTACTCTAGGACTCCTCCAGCGGGCGTTACCAGGCAACTGACAGGCCGGGAGTCCGTTCCTCTCTCGTCCCCGCTGGCGCCTGAAGACCCCAGCACCTGCGTTCCGCTGGCGGTAATCGACCTGCGAGGGAAGGGCGGGAGGGGGTAGGTTTTCATTTCATTGTTCCTGCTCAGAATGTGGTTGAAAGGCAGGAAGAGGAACTTCATCCTCCGGAGCCACAGCGCCTCTGATGCACAAGGGGAGCTCTTGAGAGCTGTGTATTTTGCGTATTAAAATTATTCCTCTTCCACCTTACAATCTGCAGAAATAGAGCTGTGCACACAATGACATAGCAAATTAATCCCAAGAATATCAAGCTCTGACACTATTTGTGTGAACTTGGAAGAGGTGCTTAAATTACAGAATTCGGTTTCCACCTCTGTAAAATAACACCTAATTCACAAGATAATGTGATGATTAGCTGAGGTAACAATTGTGAAGGGGCCTAGCTCTGTCCTTAGTGCTCCATTTTATTTCCACTTCTCCTGTTTGTGTTATCTGGGGTCTTATGCCAGGAATAAACATCTCATCCAATAGCTTCAATTTAACCAAGAAGTATTTATGTCTATAGGTTTTCTGCAAGGCATTGGCAATTCAGCAATGACTAAGACATCGTCCCAGTCTTCAAGGGATGTACCATCTATATTATTCTTCTTCCATGTACTCATTGATTTGACCATATATTCAAAACTCAGCTTTCAACTTATTGAGCATTTACATACAAGAAACTGTGTGGGCATGAAGGTGAATAAAACATGGCTCTTACTTTCAAGGAAACATATCAAAGATTTTTTAGGAGAACAAAAAGTAACTGATGTAACTAATTGACATTCCCAAAGGCAGCTCGAAAAATCCCTAATGGAATAATGCACACAGTTTAATAACCTAACCAAAATAACCAAGAACTAATTTCAAATGTATGTATGCATATATTTTAAGCAAAGCAAAATTAAGATTCCAAGAAAACAGACCAAGATTGCTGTAAAAACTACTCTAGCCTAACTACAATAAACCTTAATGTTCTTATGAATCATGAGATCTTCTGATTCAATAGGCCTGTGTGGGATTTACTAATCTGCATTTCTGGCAAGCTTTTAGCAGATTGTAACTTGGGCTGGTGGTTCAAGAAATACATTCTGAATAGCAAAGGACTAGAGCAGGTAAAAAATAGATATTCAAAGGGACTAGACTTCTGGCCAGATGCACAACACTCTGGCATTCATAACCACTGTTCAGAATACTGCAGTGGTAAACACAGGTTACAAATAACCCATTTGGTCAGGTTTGTTTATTAAAACAACTTTGGAAAGAAGTAGGCAGGAAAAAAAAGTACTTACAGGCAACTAATGACAGATTCTACAAAACATGTAGTTTTCTATAAAACATCCTTCACAACTCAGAATTTCTCAAACTCATAGATAAGTAAATTTCCTCAAATTTGCACAGTCTCTCCATCCCAAAACCCCATCCATCCATGAATCTCCAACCCAAACTTCATGTTAAATAAAAAGAAAATTATGAAGATAGTCCTTTTGAGATCAAAAGGGGTGAGTTGATTAATAATGAAAGAGATAAGCTTGGATGCTTAGGTTAAGAAGGGTCATAAATCACTGAGGAAAAGAACATGAAATTATGGAGTAGGAGAAAAGGTACAGTGCCTGGAGTCAGAAAATAGCCTAGCTCCCTTCCTGCTATATATTTTTGGCATGAGTCCCTTCCCCCTGTGAGCTTTCACATCTTTAACAGGAGGGTATATACCCACGTGAAGGGATATTATGAGGAACAAGTGGGCCTAGTATTAAAATACCAATAAATATTAATGAATATTATAATTGAGATAAGTAGATAAAAATAATGTCCAATACTGTTGACAAAGGAATGGAAAGAAACTAAATAAATGTAACAACATATGTGAAAGTGCCCAGCACAATTCTTTGAATGGATAGAGGCTTTTTTTGTTGTTTTGTTTTGTTTAAGGAGAGAATAATTTGTGACAATTAAATAACAATTAGGAAGTTTGGATTTGATTCTGCAGACATGCCCAAGCAAAAAAAAAAAAAAAATCAACATTAAAAATGTGTTTCTTGCATACATAGAAGCAGGTGTGTTGGAGTATAATTCAGTTCTATTTCTGTTCTCTTTTACCAGCTCAACTTAGCAAAATTTTTCAGAACACCTGCTCTGTGCTAGGACCATTCAGGAATGAGTAGAAAGATGAGTAAGAAATGGTACCTTCTCAAGGAATTCTCAGTCCCCAAGGGAGGCTGAGGCTAATACATAAACAGCTATAATGTTAGACAGACCCCTTTAGACTCCCACCTTTGTATCTGGGAAATTCTTGCTTTAAAGTCATTGTCCCATAAGAAATGGAAGGTGCAGATTTCCATCTCTATCTGACAAGGGGGAACTTTGTCTTGGAAATCCTTTTTTATCCAGAGTGGGACAGGATTGAAAAATCTCTATTTCTCTATGGTTACACATTTCAGAGTAAACCATGATCCACCCTAACAGATGAATAGTGAAAAAGATCCAATCTCATCTGTATAGTTAAAACTACATAGACAGAGACAAAATAAGTGGAGAAAGAATTCTCAAAATTCCTTCAAATTCAGAGCAAAAGCACTTCTGGATCAACATGCGTAAGGCTCGCAGCCCAATCCTGCCTTTCTCAGACCTGTTCTGCTTTGATGTATTTTACATATAATACTGGGTTGGATTTCACTGTGGGCAAGAGGATAGGGGGATGCATTTGAAAACCACTGATCAATGGCCTCACATGTTGATCATCAAAAACATCCTGTGAGCCCAACACAAAAATGAGACACACTGCAGAGCATACTGGAACACATTCTGTTCATCTACAAGAAAACTATTTTCTTAGGCTGTTTTAGAAGACATTGCCATTATTAGCATGCTGGTCTGCAGAATAGATTGAACTGTATATTGTCAGGAACTTGCTTAAATAAAAAGCATTATGTGTATTGTATGTATCACAAATGTCATTGGTCTCATTGTCTTTGGGAACAAATGACCTCATAGTGATATCAATTCCCTGTCACTGAAGAGTTAACCCCCACATGCTAGCAACAGGGCCTCAGGTTCTTCAAAGTCTCTTCCTGTTAATTTGGGGAGTCCTCAGGAAGTGGCACATGTGTGCTTAGAAAAAGTGTTTGTGACCTGCTCTGCCTACTTTGGCAATGCTGGATGCCCCAAAGCCACTATCCAGGGTGCTGCTGCTTGGTGCTCCCAAAACTAAAAACTCAAAGGTACTTAAATCCCAAAGCTCACAAAAGCCCTCATGAACAAAGCCCCTTTTGATTCTGCTTACCACCTCTCTTTACTACGTGTTCATACGTCGTTTCTGTATCCAGGCTGAATATTGGACCACGCTATTAAAAGGGAACAGATTCTGTCACACCAAAATATTTCTCTTTGGCACAGGATTATTTTGAACTAAAGGTAATCAAAACCCAGGAGATTTGGGAGAAGTGCTTTACCTCCCCCTCAACTTCCTAAATTTACATTGGAAAGGGGACCTGTACCAGGAAAAGACCAATTACCAGAGATAAGTTTTAAGAATCTTATCTGCATAACAGGGCAACTTTTGTTTTCTGAACATCTCCACTTTCCCATGAATGGGCCTTCCTTCGCCTTTGTATCCCCAGACTCCAACCCCTTTCCTTAGCTCAGGATGTTGTATAAGCCTCAATTACCCCGCAGCCCTTTGAGTCTTTGTATCTTTGTGAGGCTTATGTACATAATTTTGTTTGTTTATCTCCTGTTAATCTGTCTTTATCATTTTAATTATTAAACCAGTCAAAGAACCTAGAAAAGAGGAGGGGAAAATTTTTATGCTTCTATGCTATCCTCCACTTTCCTGGTCCTTCATGGCTCTGGCCCCAGGCAATTGTGTGTGAATGGGGAAGATTGGGCAACTGGCTCCATGAACAATCTCAGGGGCTGACTCCATGCAAAATATAAAACTCATAGCAGAAAATCCAAGTAACAGTGGTTTCAGTCATAGGATATTTATTATTACCAACAAGTCTGAAGGAGTGTACCAAGGCTGGTTTGATGCCTCAACAACATCTTCAAAAATCTAAGCTCTTTCCTTCTTTTTATCCTGCCACCCTTACCATGTGGCTTTCTCTGTCTAGCTTATTTCCTCAGTCACAATGTGGCTGCTTCCATTCCAAATATCATGTTTTCCAGTTCTCAGATTCAAAAAGACATTTGCACCCCTATGTTTATTGCAGGACTATTTACAATGCCAAGATACAGAAGCAATCTAAGTGTCCAACAGTAGATTAATGGATAAAAAAGATGTGGTTCATATACACAATGGAGTACTATTCAGCCATAACAAAGAAAGAAATCTTACCATTTGCAACAACACTGATGGAGCTAGAGGAAAATATGCTCAGTGAAATAAGTCAGGCAGAGAAAGACAAATACCAAATGATTTCCCTTATTTGTGGAGTATAACAATGAAGCAAAACTGAAGGAAGAAAATAGCAGCAGAGTTACAGACTCCAAGAAGGGACTAGCGGGTTACCAAAGGGGAGGGTTGGGGAGGGTGGGTGGAGAGGGAGGGAGAAAGGGATTGAGGGGTATCATGATTAGTGTGCATGGTGTGTGGGGGGGGGGTCACAGGGAAGACAGTATATCACAGAGAAGACAAGTAGGGACTCTGTGGCATCTTACTACACTGATGGACAGTGACTGCAATGGGGTATGGGAGGGACATGATAACAGGGGTGAATGTAGTAACCACATTGTTTTTCCTGTGAACCTTCATAAGATTGTATATCAATGATACCTTAATAAAAAAAATCAAAAAAACAAATACCATGTTTTCCTACCATTAAGAGGGTTGAATTTATTCTCCTCAGTTCTTGTTTCCACCACAACAAAAGAACTGAAGGGCAGAGACACAGCAGTGAAGCAGAGCAGAAGTTTTATTTGAATACACTCTAGGGAGGAATGGCCCAGAGTCAAGGTAAACAAAGGTGG